ATACTGACAGCTTCCATGATATTGAAAAAGAAAACTCATATTGCGGCACTTTTTAATTAATTAAATTGCAAGAGTAGGATGAAGAATTCTGAAAATATTTACGATTTTTTAAAATTAATAATTTATCTTTTTAGGAAAATGATATCATACTATTTGTATCAATAAAATTAAAATAGATAATAAATGGAAGATTCGCTATCACATATGATAGTGTGATCATTTTTTTCTAAGCTTGATCGCATGATCGCAAAATTTTGCACTGATCTTATCAATATGATCATGAGATTTATCCATTACATATATTTTATGTTTGATCAGATATACGAAAGTACGATTGAATGTAATTAGAAATGTTAGGAATGATTGAATTTATAATAATCGCCATTTCATTTCAAAATTCCATCTGAATTATTTACCTTTTCAAAAGTCTTTTGAAGGACATAAAAAGAAATATGAAGTAGAAAAATATCAATTTAAACGTAGTAAAGCTGCAACGATAGCATTTATCATTGTTGAAATTATTTCGAATTATTCAATCACATTTATTCAAACACATTTGATATGAACAAAATAATCATTCATCAATGAATCCAAGCGATCAACAAAACTTTCACTTTCAAATTATAATTCATTTGTTGGAAGAAATATAATTGAATTATAATTTATAACAAATATTCCATGCAGTGATTTTAAAAAACAGCATTTTATTAAATTGCTATTAGAAAGTATGACTAATAAAACTAATAAAACTTTGATGACTAATAAAATCAATGTTTAAATTTCAATGAATGATAAAAAACGAAATGAAACAATTGATTGATTGATAATTTTCAATTTAAAAAGAAAGCGAAAATTTTGATAATTTTTTTTAAAGGAAAAACACTGGAATGTTTTTTTATTTCCTACCTTCTACTTGAGAATGTGAACATAACTTAACCAAAAATGCAATCCTGAAGGTAACTTGATGATTTGATCCTGAAATTTAAAAATTTAGAATATTGACATAACAGGTAAACGATTAACCGTAATGGAATAACTTACTTCACTGATTGTTTATTAGCTTTTAAATTCAGTAACAAAAAAAAAGTGTAAGTAACGAAATGAATAATAATTATTAAATTAAGAATATTCGTATTTCATACTTTTTAATTCAGCAGACATATACTTGAATCCTTTAAGGATTTTTCTATCACTATCATCGTATCTGCAAAGTATTGAAATTTTATGATTCATAAAAATTTTTTAATTATCTAATGAGGGAATAAAATTATACCCCGAAAAAAAGTGAGAAATTTTTATCAATCATAAAATGATCAATCATTCAGTTGCAATGCAACAATCAGATTGAGAGCTATCAGTAAAGATTGATAATTTAATTCGACAAATACATCAGATTGAGAGCTAACAGTAAAGACTGATGACTAATTTGATTAATTGATAATTAATTTAATTCGATAACTAAACTTAACAGAATTATCATTCTTGCACACAGCTTACAATAATTATTTACTATTATCTAAATCGATAATTGGTATTCAATTTGATTATATTTCGTGGATTCGGAAAACTCGATATCTCACATAGTTATTTTTAACAATAGAATTAAATGATAACAGCTAGAAGGAATGCTTTATCAAAATTTGAAAATTTAAATCATTTGTATTTCTTGTATGATTGTGTGGAGAAATTGATATCAATTCGAAATTATTTCCTTAATTTAGACAATATCATTAAAGGATATCATTTCATCAAAATATCATATCATATCATTTCATTTCATATCATTTCATCAAAATTAATGAACTGAAATTACATAATGCTTGGAATAGATAATATTAATTTTAAATTTTAATAAATATATTTTCCAAAGTAAAATCTTTTTAAATTATTATGAAAATTTTAGTAGAGAATATGTGGAGAAAGATAAGAAAGATTTTCCTCAAAAAAATAAAAATTGAATTTGTTTTTCCTATTTGCACTGATTTTATCAGAATGATAATTTTTGACAGAATTTAAATTTAAAATTAACACTCAAAGTTTTGTGATTTTTTTTATTCACAAGCAATAAAATTGAAAGGATAAATCAAAAAATTTATTAAATAAAACTTATCAATGTCTTAATCAAAGCCAATTAGTTAATTAAAAATATTGAAATAAAAGTTATCAATGTCTTAATCAAAGATGATTAGTTAATTAAAAATATCAAAGTTATAATCAGAGATAAGAAATCTATCAGTTTTTTTTTTGAAATTTATAAAATGCATAAAGATAGATGTGGTGAAATAAATTCTATTTTTCAAATGATTATATTTAAATGATTCATACTGGTTTAGTCATTGCAGACGATGAAAAAGTGGATGGGATGGTGGAATAGTAGGATATTAAGTAGGAAGAGAAAAGTGAAGATTTATATATTGCGGAAAAAAATCCGGAAGAGTAGTAAATTAAAGGGATGGCATTTGTGTTGTTGTATAATGCTAATTAATGAGATATTATTCTATTTTAAATTATATATCAATCGAAATTTTGATTTATAAAAAATTTTCAGCAATGTAGTAGAAATATATATAATTGAAATGAAATCATTAATGAATGGAATAAATTGATTATTCAACAAAAGAGCTTTTCTCAATTTACTCTCTTAAAATTCTTATAACAGAAAAGAATAATTATCTATTCCATGATATTTCATTAAAGAAAAATTATCACTATTTCAATTTCTTTTTAAAAAATTATCACTATTTTAATTTCTTCTTGAAAAATTATCACTATTTCAACTTCTTCTTGAAAAATTATCACTATTTTAATTTCTTTTCAAAAAATTATCACTATTTTAATAGTTCATAAATGAGTTACTGCTTAAAATTGATAAGAATAAGCTTACTAAATTTACTTATATTACAACCTTTTTTTTCTTATCAATGCAAAAATTCAAATTTACTAAGCTAATTTCTAGTGATATCAAAATGAGATAAACTTTTATAAATGAGAACATATGCATATATACAACTTGGCTACCCATTAATACTATCTATCAACTAATGGACAGAGAAGGAACCATATAATAGTCAATTTTCCGATTTTGTAGAATGGAAGAAAATGATGATGAGATTCGCCAGCTGATATGGGCAATGAAGCGAAGCAACAACATAGGCTTTTATAACTTTATATCCCACCATTAATTTAAAAATAGTCATTATCACTAGGCATGTATTTTGTCAATAAGCAATTGTCAATTTTTTTAACACTTTTTTTTTTAAACTATTAGATTGTTAGATATTATGCTTATTAAAAATAAGTTTTGAAAGTTATTTCTATGTGTATATGTGATGTTATTACTATTATTATTATTGTTATTATTATTATTATTATTATTATTATTATTATTATTATTATTAATTATTATTAATTATTATTATTATAATTATCATTATTATTATTATTAATTATTATTAATTATTATTATCATTATTATTATTATCATTATTACTATTATTATTGTTATTGTTATTATTGTTATTATTATTATTATTATTATTTTATCCAAAAAATCACAATGAATATTAAGGATTATTTCAATTTTATTGAGAAGTATATTTTTGAGGAATTAAATGATAAAAGTAATTTAATGAAATAAAAGAAACTTTTCCACTTTAATTTTACATTAATTAGTCGCCGCTGCTAATACACAATTTCTTATCAGTTTTGATTTTTATTCAGTGAAATAAATATTTCAAAGTTATACAAATATTTACAAATATCACCTGAATGGATTATAGAAAAACACAGGACTTTGTATTCCTACTCTTTGCATTATTCTTCTGCTGGTAATACAACGAATGAACATTAAGTATAGTAAAACTATTCTGGATTTGTCGAGAATCGAAATAATTTATAATAAATAAGTCTAATAAAAATAATTTGCGTTCCAAAAATATTTCTCACTAGAATGATTCATTTCATAAATTGTAATTTAATGAATGTTACAATGTTTAAAGCAATGAATCATTTCGCTAATTCTCATCCGTTTCTTTCAGATTATCCTGCTTATCTTTAATGATTGAATTACCGGGAAACCATATGCAAATGCAAATGTTTCTAGTCTGATAATCAATCGTATTTCAGTCGTTATTCTGTGATCAGAATCTTCAAGGCTTTACACAGATTTTCTATTTTATTTTTACATACTTATCCTTGTATCCAATATCAGAATATGTGTTGTAAACTATTCCTACTATATATATGTACAGAGTTATGTGGGGTCAAAAAAAGAAGTGCACATAACTTCTTTGACTTCAATCTTTACTTCGCATCCTATTTATACTCATCGATAAAAATTGATACCGTGTATTTCGGTGTTTTACTACTACCATCTATATCCGACTGAATCTCTACCAGATCAACAAATTAAGAAAAATCTCCAAAGTGATCAATTCTTTTATTGATAAATCACTCATAATTGCCTATAATGCCATGAAAAAATCTCTCCTAAAGAAGAAAATCAACCTTCACAAATATTCGACTGTTCCAAATCAAAAATCTCCCAAAACAAAAAAAGAGTTCATAATAAAATCAAAACCTCTAAATATTAAAATAACAAACGTTGAACTTTATACATATCACATAAGACTTTGTAATAATTCCTAACAATCCGTTTGATAAAGAACTTGTGATAAAGATTTCGAATTAAAAGCAGGAATACATATTAAAATTGGTTCTTAGCTCAGAATTCCATTAACTAGAAGATAATTTAAATAAAAAGTAAGCAAGTTAAAAAAAATTCCATTTCACTGAATTACGGAAATTTATTTAATAAAGAAGAGCTCCAAATATAAAGTTATGACGATCAATGAAGATATGTCAACAATAATACTGAAGGACTGTGAAAAAAGAAATCATTATCAATAGTTTATAAATACTACAACTGTCAAAGAGTAGGCTAATTGGTCGAAAATCCAAAGCACCTGCGCACAAAAAACAAAACACCTGCATACTTTCTGTTATTTGATTTTCTTTTCAGCAACAGTAATTCTACGATCATCCATGAAAGCCGATAACATCCAACCAATTGTAGGACATATCCAATATGTCCAAATAAACCAAATAGTATCTAGTCCATCACAGCCTTGTAGACGCGACGAAGCAACCGTTGGATTAAGTCCAGGAACACCCACAAATACTAGTGCTGAAAAAGTTGATAATTCAATTAACTATGTGGATAAATAAGCGGTAAGTAAATCATCGTCTGACTCATTCCTTAATGTTTAACTGAGCTAAATTATGACTGTAAAATCTTGAAAATTAAACTTCTTTCAGCATAGACAGTTGCAATCACATATAAATTAGTATGCCGATAATGTGAATCTATGATCTAGAACGTACAAGTGCATCTATCATAACAACTGGCAAGTTTTGAGAAATATTTTTACTTCTGTAGCTGTATTGTAGTTATGTATAAATAAACTGCAACAACATAATTTCTAAAATTGTCATGCCTAATGCAATAAAGTTTGATCTTAATGGATTACATGAAAATACAAAAACAAACCAAATGTCAGAAATGCTGACACAACGGCTGGAACCATAAATATCTTAAAATTTGTGGGAATGCGAAAAAGGATATGGCGCATTAGAAAACAGCCAAATACTTCGAAGGAAGGCACGAACATGAATGGCACCTAAAATGAAAAAAACTGTGTAAACGAATCCAATACATCTATTCGTTTGATAAATGACACTGGTGGTAACCAATGATCATTTACTCAGTCATTGATAGATGAAGCCGATAGTAAAAAAGAATTATTCGAGATTAATCATTTACATTAGAAACAACATCAAGAAATTAAATAAAGCATATCTTATCATTAACTGAGAATATTGAGATAAACGATTTTTATAGCATAGATTCCAAGAATATAAAGATTTCTTAATTAATTCAACGCTTTCATGTTATAAATCATTCTGACAGATTACATAATTTTAATTAGCATATTTGCTCCACATATTTTTTAGTATTTTGCAGATTAGTCGATCGTAACTTATCTAAAAAGCCTGATTTCCCCCTAATCCCTGCAAAAATTTCATTGGTCACAGAAAACAAGATAAACAGGATAAAAGAAATCCTCAGATCCCTTTCTTCCTCAAAAACTGAAGATCTGCTCAAAAGCTATTTATTCTCTTATTAACGAAAAAGTCTCAACGGAAGATTTCAGATTTGATGGGTTCCAACCTTATAAGTAAGTTTACAACTTGTAAACTCGTAAAAAAGAGCATGATCAGGCGACAGATTCAATGACCAGTACCACAGATAACGGGCTACCCGATAAGCCGAATAACCACCAATCATTTCTCCAGCTATTGTTACCAACAATCTTTTCAATCTGCAATTTTTATGAATAAAATTTGTTTCCAGTCGCTCATTGCTTACGTCAATCAATATCATCAAATACACAAGAACGATGGAGTTATCTAACTCCTTAACAACTTCACTAGTAATTGAATAAAAACAAAACGAAAACCAACGGAAATATTCCTTTATAATACAGCTCAATTGGTTGTAGTGGAGAAACAAACGCTTCTCGATTCATAAAGCTGCCAGAAAAGATAAGCAAAGCAACGGTAAAAAAGAAACCCAGCAGGCCATAATGTCGAATAATTACAGCTGCAATATCTAGTCATATAATCCCCGTTTATTTCCAATATCAAACATATAAAAGATTCATATATCATATACTTACACTAGTTGCCTAAAATACAAAAAAAATTACCGTTCTCATAAACACAAGTACACATTTGTGCTGTTGCTATTATTTCCATCAGAAAATGATACAACAATGAACCAGGTGTTTCATATCTGAAAAATCATCAAATTAATAATTAAACATTTTAATTAAAATTCTTAGGTGCACAATTTATCAACAAAAATATGCTTTCACAAGCGAGACATGTTCGCCTCTTAAAAAACTCATGCATATATTATTAGCCATGCTGATTATATAAATGAACAAATAGACAAATACATATATATTTGAAAAAAATTCAATTTATCGATGGTAAAGTAAAGTGCATATCCAAATAACTTACTTGTCGACAAGTTTACGAGTTAATTCAGCAATTACAAAAACTGATAGATAGAAGGATGTAGCCACGAGAAGCGGAGAATAATCCGATTCTGGACTAGACATCATTCACTTCTCTGAAATTGTTGCTATATTTTGTATGGAAAAAAATGATGAAAGAGTGCACATTCGTAAAACCATTCAATTCTTTCTTCCTTCACATTCCCTAAAATAACGAATAATTCATGTCTATTTACATTCTACTAAATTTAAAACTAATTTTTCATCCAAATTTTTCAAAACAAAAATTCACATGGAAAATCCTTCACATTTGTTCTAACTCATAACATAATAAATAGTATGTAAAGTTTGATAAGTTTGACGATCATCAATTCAATATGTTGACGAAATGACAATAATTTAATTCTATAAAAGAATACGAAGTACATCTTCGCAAAGCGTACATCTATATACTTAATTTGTTATCTATAAATAATCTATACATCTACTTATATATCCTAAAAATACATTAATCATGGCCAAGCTATTAGTACAGTGTAGGAGATAGCCTAGGATTGAGAGGAGGATACTCAGGATATTTATAATCTGCACATCACAATTATATGAAAAAAGGCATTGATATGAACAAAATCTCAACAATTGAAAGACCACCATTGATTTATTGTGGCGGCATCTTTGATAAGGCAACTGAGAAGACAGTAGTCGAAAAATAGACTCCCCAATTTCATTCCGAAACATTCAATGCGGAAAAACGGAAGACAAATGATAACAGAACAGCTTAGTTCAACTGAAGAATAGCAGGTCAAATCCAAACCTGTTGCATTCATCCTCATCTGTGGAAGAAACAAAAGGCATTGTTTTCTCCTTGGACTCGATCCGAGTGCTCATTGCGAATGATCGAGGGATAGGAGATTGCTATGTGATCTTCCCAATATTTTTTCTCTAACTTTGTATTTCGATATTTTTCCAATCTCTTTTCTTTTCTATTCAGAGTCTATCAGTTGTAATCTTAGTTAAATTTCATAACTGTTAAATCAATAAACTAAAAGTTTATTTATTCATTGTCAGTCAATTCATCTCTTTGTTAAAGATCTTAGTGATTAAGTGGGAATGAATCCATTGGATTCTTTCAGACATCATACTAATAATATCTGATTCTGATTCTCTCTTATCATTATTAAATTATATATTTCCGGTTGCTTTCTCTATACTAATTTCATCTATAAATTAATTGAATTCCCGCTTAATTCTGTTTTCAATTCAAATAGTTCTTTAAACGCTTCATACATATTAAATTGCTTGTGAAATTTTATTTCTTCTCGCGTGGGAATTTTAAAGCGATATTGTAAATAAAAATTGACGGTAAACAAGCCTCTAACATTCTTCATTTTTTTCGAGAACGATCAATTAGAAATATGAAGTGTGATGATGGAATAACCAAAAATCTTTTCATTGCGAATGAATTCATCGCCATCGTTCGAATTACATTTTCGACGTTCATTATCGGAACAGCTGAAGATGTCAACCATGTTCATTTATGCATTTTCCTTCGCTCTTTGCAAATCAAAAATATGAAAGTTATCAGTAATGATGGCTTGAATAGCCTGGAGTGAGTAATTGTCGGATATAGCTGCTCATTGATCTCAAAACAATTCGATATAAGCCATTTTTTGTTACGTTATCAACGATTGCATCATTTTAGTCAGCCAAAATTGGACGTATTCTCTTTGATTTATTATTGATATTTCCGGAAAATTTTCTTCCTCATTTTTCGATACCATTCGATTACCGTTAATTTCCATTATACGAAATGAATTTAGTGAGAGATAAGATTATTTTAAAATCATGCAGTAATTACATGGTTGGGATTTTTCTAATTTAGCTTTTTAATACCAATATCGGATGCATAATGTGACAATCTCAGTTAATTAAACTTAATGAGTTTGGAAAATTGTAGACAACAAAGATATCCACGAATGGATTGCAAAAGAAGGCGGAAGAGTTGAAGGAAAAGTTAGGTTTATTAGCGGGAGGGAAGAAAGAACAACAAAAAATTACAGCAACGAAACAAAAATTAAAAAACTTAAGAAAGAGTAAGTCACCGAATAAGAAGACTGAGACATCGAAGCAATATGAGAAGTCATCGGTAGATAAAAAGATATCAAAAGGAATCAAGAAAGGTTCCATACGACAAGAAAAATTCTGTTCAGTTTATCAAACTACCAGTGGAAATGCTGAAAAGGTTATTATTACACGGATGAAACTGAAACAACGCCTTTGGTTGTGTAAGGAAAGACATAGGAGAAGTAGCATATGTGAAGATTCCGGTTTCTAACGTAATGTGTTACAACACTTTTGAAGTTGCTTTTTCAAAACAAACTCTGAAATATTAAAGGAAAAATAAAAATTGAATTTTAAATGAAACAATAAATATCAACTAATGAGGGACCTATTTATAAACAAAACTTTTATCCTTCAAATTGTCAAAAAGATGCAATTGATGTAATAAAAAGTGTTGAAAAAAGCCAACAATTCTAAAATGTATTGACATGTTTCACTTAATTTACCTTTTGGTTGATCTGTGGTATTGCTGACCTCTGTGGTCTTTAATGGCTAGTGAGATTTCATTGCAATCGATCTTTTTTAAACTTCTAAAATTTGTTGAATATATTACATAAAACATTCCTGAGTAAAATTGTCTCAAAATAATAATAATATCCTGCTGATTGCTTATTGATAAATTCCTTTTAAAGATTTACCTGAAATCTGTGTCGGGGATTTATAATAATTTAAAGGAGTAAATCTGATCACAATTCGACTCAGTGATGTGAATGTTATCAATTCTGCAATATGCAATATGATTTGATGGTGACCAACTTTTTAAATCTAAGATCTTTTGATATTGCGGTAATAAATAATTGGCAAAAGAAAGTGTAGGAAATTATATAAATGGGTTACAATTTTCGTTGATTCATTTAACCTTATGTTTCCGAAGGTCATTGTCGAGGTCATCATTGTCATTGTTGCTATCGGAATTGAAATAATGTGTAATGTTATCAGCCTTCGTTTGAATAAATCAATTCATCCGTTCTTCCATAATCACTACTGACCAATGCAAGGTTACTTTGGAAGTTTAATTTTTTTAAATTGCATTTTAAATTTATAATTAAGCATTTGTTAAAATGAATTCATATCATCTAGATATTTCTATAATAAAAAAATTTAAAGGTAAAATAATCTTTTAATTTTAGAAATATAATAAAGACAAAAATCTATTCAGTGATAAAATATATTACAATATAAAAATTATATACCATAAAATAGTTAAAGTAATTTTTGCGTAATGAAATGATCATTTTGTTTATAATTTTTATTTTATGCAAAAGAAAAAATGAATAAAAAATAGCTTTTAAAATTTATTTTATTCCCGAACACTTTTTTAGATCCTTAATAAAATTCTTAATGAATTAATTAATTTGAATTGCTTGTTAAAAAAAAGCTCCGAAAATAAATTTAAATTTTTGCAGCAACAAGAAATGGATTGATATTTTTAACTTTTGCAATAATTTCATCTTTCTTACTGCTAATAATAATAAATTGGAGCTTTTATGATATGTATGTTGCTGATTCCAATCGTTTTGATCGATTATCGATCGTTCAAGTAACTCGAATTTTTCCTCAAGGAGGTTCTCTCTTTTTGTTTTCTCTTAATTTTTTTGAAGAACTAAATTTGATATTTCGTTTAAAGTTTAACGAATCAAAAAATGACTTTTGAGAAACCTTCCTATATGTCATATTTAGAGTTATATATCGCATTCAAACATTTTGCCTGATTGATTTTGGAAGATGTTTGTTTTTGTATTTGAAAATATAAGTAAGCCAGAAGTATGAAATATATAGTAATCGACTATTTTATATTTTTTTAGTAATTAACTATTTTACAATTAGTAAATTTACGAGCAAAGCCATATAAGTACTTAAAGTTCATTTTTCCTGATTGATTTTGGAAGATTCTTGCTTTTGTATTTGAAGATATAAGTAAGCCAGAAGTATGAAATATACAGTAATTAATTATTTTACAATTAGCGAAAAATTTACGAGCAAAACTATATATCGTATTATAAGTTTCATTATTTATTTTCGTCTCATAATTCAGGTGAATATGTAGAATTCAATCAACCGTGGATTTTACCAAATACAATAATAATTGAAAATATCGAAGATATCAGCCAAAGCGAACGCTATCTAATAAGTAATTTTTCATGGAGCCCAGGTACTTATTACTTCCTATAAAATTTATTTTACCTTCTCAACAGAGATCATCTGTTTTTTAGCTTTTAAAATTACGTATTTGTTAATGCAGAAGTAAATACGATAGCATAATCTTATTCAAACAAAAATGAAATTCAAATTTTTTAATACTTTAAAATTTATTATAATTTTAATAGATTTGCAAGCTAATTAAATTTTGTATTGTTTCCATTGAAATAATATACTAATAGCTGTCTAATGCAAAAAAATTTTTTGATAATATTTAAATTTCAATAAAATATTCATCTATGAAAAAGTTCAATTCAGGATTGGGTAATTTAATGTTCCAATATGCATCATTACGAGGAATAGCTGAGAGATATAAAGCAAAATTAATTGTCCCCGTGAAATGTAAATTACGACGGGGTTTTAAATTAGATGCAATTATAGTAAGCAATAAGCTTAATGATGAACTAATTCAACGATACAGCGCAAATGAGCATCATTTTATGGTTAGTTAAAAGATTTCAATCAATTCCAAAATATCATTTTTAAATCTTTCAAATTTAATTATAAAATTAAAAAAGAAATTCAAACATTTTAAATTTAATTATTACAATATTGTAAATGTGATATAATTTTCGTTATGTTGCAAATATTATGAAAATGAAATCGATGAATTATTTGTAAATCGAAATTTCGAATATATTTCTGGTTATCTTCAATCATATCGTTACTTTCATCCTCAACAGGTAACTCATACTTTAATTAAAGATTAAGAAATAATTTATGAAATGATTAAAATGTGTGTAAATAAATATGCCACGAAATTATTGTTCGTTCGCATCGAGTAATTTTATCTATCTCATATAGTTTATCTTTTTTAGTTTTTAGTATTTTTGTTCGTGTTCCATCGATATTATCATTATCATCATTATCATTACTATTATCAATCTTTTATTATTTATTTCTTCTCAACAAAACCGATAATTGAAGCATAATTAATTAATGTCTAGGAAGATTTGATCCGTAAACAATTCACCTTCTTACCAGAAATTATCGAACGAGCGGATGAGTATCTGCTAAAAGCTAAATACAAGAAATATCATGCGGAAACTGCAGTTATCATTAATCTTAACCATCATAATCAAATGAATATCACTGAAGACTTCTATGGTATTCTTATCTTTTAATTATTTTTTAATTAAGTGATAACAATTAATTACTTTTCCCACTCCTCGTGCAAAGCTCAGTGCACTCGTAGAATCAAAAAATTAATCTGCAATATTAAACCTTTGATAACTACAGATTATGTATACGTTGGAATACACATACGATATGGTATGGATATTACAATGAATAGTCGAAATATAAAATATGGTCATAAAGCTATCACAAAAGACTATATTATCAATGCAATGAATTATTTCAGGTTAGTTAATATGAGATTAGTTCAGGTAGGATTATTTCATTTGAATAAATGAACATTATAAATCATTATTCGCATAAGATTTTTTTTATTTAATTTCAAATAATATTTATCATAGAAATTTTCGAAATTTAAATCCTAAAATGGTTTTAACAATTTTGTGACAGATTATTGAAGACTGAACAAACAATATGAATAGCTAATTACTATCAATAATTGATCAGAACTTATTGATCTCTTCTGTTTATCTTAATTTATTATCACTTTTTTCCATCTCACTTACCAAAATGAAATTTGAATTTTGACGAAACTTCGTCATTTTTATTATTTAATAATTTTACGACTTTAGCAGCTGAAGCAAATACTAATTTTACTCAATTAATATTATTATAAAATTATAGATCAAAATTCGATAAGTTAATATTTGTGATAATCAGTGATAACTTACATTGGGTTGAAACAAATATCAAGCATATTTATAAAGGTTAGTATTTGTGGTAAGATTGGTGTTAAATTTACATTTCAACATATTTTCACTTGAAGATTCATCTTTTAATGTAATTCATTAGTATGACAGTGTTTTATTAAATCTAATAAATTAATTGAATCAATGATTTTTGTTTTAATCAAATGAGTGATATGTAATGAGAGAAAGAGAAGAAATAAAATATTTAGCATTTGCGAAATTTTTTGTCACAACCGATTGGAAATTTTAAAAGTTCAAATATAAAAATAATGAAAATGATTTAAGATGAAATTTACATTGTATCATCGGGTTATCGTGAAGTTGATATGGCAACATTAATTCGTTGTAATCATACGATAATGAGTACCGGTACTTTTTCATGGTGGATTGCTTATCTGACAAATGGTACCACAGTGTATTACAATGATTGGCCAAGACATGATTCAGTACTGGCAAAAACAATGAAAAAAGATGAATATTTTCTAAATAATTGGATACCGATGGAATAATTTCTTATCATTTCATCTTTTCATTTTACATATTCGACTAATAAATTAAAGTAATTAATAAAAGTTAAATGCAACTTTAAAATCCTTGAGAATTTTACAAAAATTGCAAAAACTGTCAGCTTGAATTTTTTTTTACTTTTCTTTTACTTCAAAGAAATAATTTTTATTGTTTATTTCTCAATTAAAAAATTTTAATATAAAACGTTTAAATTTTTTTCGACATATTCATTTTGTTGAAAATTTTAATCATTCAATAAACTTTACCTAAAATAAACCTAATTAATAGAATTAAACTTTTAATTGCTAAATCTATATTATTTTTAAATGGTAAAATTATTATTCTCTCTTATCATTATCATCTAATAATTTCATGAAGATTGATAAATTTTCGTAAAGTACAAAAATAATAAAGAATAATGATAATGAATAAAGTAAAATGATATTTTGTTTTGAGCGTAAAATGTTTATAAACAATCTAATGTTTATAAACAATAGTTAATTATTTCATTACATTATAAAATTTATATTGGAAAATTATTTTGATCTTATTGTATTATATTGATAATAGGTTTCTTTTATCTTTTTCGCATTATTTTCTTCAAAATTCAATTTTTTCAATTAAATAATGAAATTTTTCAATTGTGAAATTTTATTTGAAATTTATTATTTCCTTTTTGTGCACATACTTTAATTAGTTTTAATTAGTAATTAGTTTTAATTTAATTAGTTTTAATTTTGAAATTTTTCATTAAAACTGATTAAATTATCTGAAAATAAAAGAGAGAAATTTTCGGAACTTTCTCTTTCCTTTTTTTTGTTATCATAAATTTAACAAAATTTCACACTTCGCATATTTCACAGTGTAATAAATAAAATTGATAAGTTTAATTTTATTAAGCATTTTACATTTAATAGAATTATCAGTGACGTATATTTAATTATTCCAATAATTTATCATTTTGCGCCATCAAATTGTTTCTATGCGCTTCTTCCTTTCTTATCATTTTGTTAAAATTTTCATTGCAAAATGATTTTCGAGAATTTTTCAGATTATACGATTGAATTTCGAGAAACCGAATTTTTACGCATTATATTTATAAATTGTATAAGCAGAAAGAATTGGTCAAGAGCTTCTTTAGTTGATTAAAACTTATATTATAGGAATGAGTGTGATGTCGTTAGTGAAAACGGAAGATTGTCATCAAGGTGAATCTTCCGGAAAATTATGGGTTTGATTTTGAATAGTTCTTCATTAACAAAAGCAAGTATGTATGTCATTAGATTCATAAAATTTAAAAATAAGTTCACTAAATCATTGTAATGATTTTTTCTCAAAATTTGAAAGTTGAATCGGGTATTTACAAGACTATTAAAAATTTGACGGATCTTTCCGGATCCCTCTTAAAATATGCATTTAGTGATAATCGAATTTAAATTTTTACAGATCTAATGAAGGATATTTTCTGTACTAAAGGCTTTTCCTGATAATAGAATGACTGCTGAAGAAAAAACATCAGGAGAATGTTACGAATTATCACCATTGTTCTCCCGAGAAATCACTAAATCATTTCCATTTGTTTGTTACATTTTCATTAGAAAGTAAAATGCACTAAATTATAGTTAAAAGAATATCTTTTCTGTGCATTCAAATGATAAGCTTATCATTATCAAGTGATAAATGATTGTACAATTGACCATCAAGAGAATAGTAATGCATTTCAAATGATTGAATTTCAACAAAAGTAATTTTGTTTCTCAAAAAACAACAGTCTTCATTTCGAAATGTATTCATTTTTACAAAATAGAATAACTAGCCATTTTATCCACCTTATCATTATCATTTTATCATATTATTCCGTTTTGGTATTTAAACGAAGAGATGGCAAATCCATATCAGGCATCAATGGATCTATATTAAATAATGTATCATCTTCATCTTCCTATAATGTAATTTCAATTTTTATTTAGTGGTGAGAATTGTTGAAAGTTACCTTGTGTCAAAGAAATTTAATAACTTACGAAATTTTAAGATTCAATTGTGGCAACAATTGCCAGCTTCTATAAGTTGGGAAATAAATTGACAGATAATGGTCATTAGCGCCGTTACCGATTTACTGTCCAGTTTATTCAACTTATTGAAATTTATTATTGCTAAATTTATATTTACTAAAATAATACGGCTAAAATATTAAGCATACATACTTTTTCACTCCTATTTCTTGACCTCTTTTCACCTTTATCAATCAATTGTGCTAAATTCACATCACTGCCTTTCTTCTTCAAAGTTACTTCCAACGGAGTACTGTAAATAGTTACACAAAGTTTAATAAATGCTTTTTTAATGAAAATTTGAAATAATCTATCAATATTCATCTTGCAAGTTATTCATAATAATAGAGAGACAAAAGAGAGAGAGAGAGAGAGAAAGAGAACCTAGAAGCATCGCAATTGAATAATCTTTGATATTATCTGATTGAAAGTGATAAGAAAAATTAACTGTGTAGCTGAAGCACTGATTCCAGTTGAATGATAATTTGAAATTTCAAATTTCGAATTTTCAAATATTTCTTGATCAGCCAACTGGTTTTTCACATTCTTTTTCTTCAATTTTAACTAAACATTAAACGATTTAATATCATCCGAATTCACTTCCCAAATATCTTCTAACTTCATATAAAATACTGTTAAGTATCGATCTTTGTATTTCACATAGAATACAAATAACTATTGATCGTCGTCGAAAAGCTTCTTGTATTCAGTGAATAAATTGATTCATCTTCTGATTATACGATTGATGAAATTCCGATTATTAGGCCTATCATGTTATCATACAGAGATTTTAAGGCCTGCTTTAACCTTTTGAGATCTATATCTCTACGTGCTTTTATCTTATCAAATTCAAAAACTTTTGCTATTTTATTTGTTAATAATTTTGAAAATTGTTTGTATTGCAAATTATAAAATTTGCATTAAATATAAATATGCTAGCTAATCAATTACCAGAATTTTCTTAAAATCGTAACCATAAATATAATTTATCCGATGCATCATATACTGTTTGCTTGAAAGTAAGAAATATTTTTTAGATATGGTCAAGATCGGGCAAAGTACACATTCTGGAAGCTTCAAGTAATTAGCAAAATATGCCACCTGATAGCCAGCAACGATCGAACGGTCAGTATCACTGAGTAAGTCAACCAAAAGATGAATCAAGTGAAACAAATCAATATTTCCTATATTATTGGATTTTTTCAAATCATAAAAATAACTTTTACTACACCAATTGAATCTTGAATTGCTAGCAAAGTAATGAGTAAGAAATTTGACAGCTTGAAAGATTAAGCATCCGCCTAGTAGTTCCGTTAATGAAAGCAATGATATCTCTCGGTCTTTCATTATTTTCATTCTCTTATCTATCAGTAACTAATCATTAATGATTGATATTTATTGCTTCATTTAAAATTGATTTTTTATTTCTCCTTCAATATTTTAGAGTTTGTTTTTGAAAAAGCAACTTCAAAAGTGTTGTAACACATTACGTTAGAAACCGGAATCTTCACATATGCTACTTCTCCTATGTCTTTCCTTACACAACCAAAGGCGTTGTTTCAGTTTCATCCGTGCAATAATAACCTTTTCAGCATTTCCACTGGTAGTTTGATATACTGAACAGGATTTTTCTTGTCGTATGGAACCTTTCTTGATTCCTTTTGATATCTTTTTATCTACCGATGACTTCTCATATTGCTTCGATGTCTCAGTCTTCTTATTCGGTGACTTACTCTTTCTTAAGTTTTTTAATTTTTGTTTCGTTGCTGTAATTTTTTGTTGTTCTTTCTTCCCTCCCGCTAATAAACCTAACTTTTCCTTCAACTCTTCCGCCTTCTTTTGCAATCCATTCGTGGATTTCTTTGTTGTCTACAATTTTCCAAACTTAGTAAATTTAATTAATTGAAATCGTCATATTATGCATTCAATAATGATAATAAACGTTGCAGCATCATTGCTTCCGGTCATCCGTTACGGTCAAATATTTTGCTATATTATTTTAACAGATTTTCGATTTATTTTTAAGTTCCAAATTTCAGATTTGTTTAAAATTTTGAATGGATAATGCTATTAATTAATTGTTTTTCAAATAAAAATATTACAAAAATGTTATTCCAAATGCAAATATAATCTATATTTAATTAATAAATTTCAGGTATTCAATTAAAATATATATTAGAAATCAAAAATATTTATTATCTCTTAATATCAAATAAAATTTTTTAAAGATGCCTTCTTCTGCTAAATTATACTAACCATTGTAGAATTTATTGGTGACAGATGGAATTGAATAAAAACTGCCACAATATAGTGAATATGAAAACAATAATTAGATCGCATTTATTTATTACAATTTTATAGACGAATACAATGAATTAATTATATCAAAAAATCACAAAAATAAATTTATGAAAATTTTTAGAACTTTAAAAAATAATGTAAATTTTTTTGAATTCAAAAATTTCTGCAACATTGTTGAAAAAAGAAACTGTAAAAAGTGGAAATGATTGAATTTGCAGAAGTATCAAAATTAATTTTGCTGAAATGAAATTGTTTGTATTATTTTAAGCTATCATCGTATCGTCTATATCATTTCATCTATATGATAATAAATTCTTCTTCACATATTCTGGCAAAATAAGTAATTAAATAAAATTTTACGAATAATTTTTCTTTCAGAATTTTTTCTTACTTTTCTGTAACAAAGTATTAATTCAGAAATTTTTAAAATGAATTATCAAAAAGAAAGATTTTTAATTTTGATACCATTTTATTTATTTTTCAAAAATTAATAAAATACGAAAAATAAAACAATTAATTTTTAATTAAAGGCACAAAATGGATGAATTAATGAGCGAACATACATACATATATTATAATTAAAACAAAATAAATGATAATTGAATAAAGAAAAATTACTGGCACATTTTATTGAGGGATTATGTATTGAGTATGTAGAATTTTTATAGTTTGAAAGCTTTTAAAATCAAAAACATAGATTGATCGATTGATCGATCGATTGATTGGTTGCAAAAGAAGTAGTAAAAAGAAAGGAAGCCATTTGAATTTCATACTAAATCTGAATGATTGATTTTGCAAACATTTTAAATTTGATAAGATTTGATAATAATTTCAATGATTTCTTAATTATATGCTTTGTTAAATGATAATTGAAAGAGAGAATTCAAATGTGAATTAGAATTAAAAGAATAGATTATAAAGATTGGAATGAAGTTTAGAGTGTAGCGCATTTGTGGAGAATGAGAGAAAGATATTAATTTAATGCATAAGAGGAAACATTATGATTGAATTTAAAAGAGCACTAAATTAATTTCTTCAATTTATAACTCTATTAAGAAATTCTTTTTAAATATGTTAAGTGAATTTTAAAAGTAAAGTAAGCTGATCTTTCAGTTCTACAGAATTTCATAATGTTTGCAAAAATACTCTTAAAAATAAAACAAAACTTAAACTATGACCTTTTAAGGCTCTTAATCTTACATTTTTCCATAACATTAAACTATGACCTTTTAAGGCTCTTAATCTTACATTTTTCCATAACATTAAACTATGACCTTTTAAGGCTCTTAATCTTACATTTTTCCATAACATTAAACTATGATCTTTTAGGGCTCTTAATCTTACATTTTTCCATAACATTAAACTATGATCTTTTAGGGCTCTTAATCTTACATTACTATAATACTATTCAATTCCAAGTAAATGGCGCTCATAAAATTGTCCATAAGATTGTCAACTATAATTTAAAAAGAGAAATTAATGACCTCATAATTAAGTAACATATAAAGTTAAGGAAGAAAAAAACTTTGTTTAATTTTTCCATTAAATACTAAAATTGGTTCGTTTGAAAAAATAAAATAAAATAAAATGTTGTAAGAGAGGGAATCAAAATATCTTATTGTATCAAACATTTTTCAATTATAAAAGAAAAAGAGTATTAATTGAATTATGTTTTAAATTTAAACGTTAATTTCACGTTTTAGGAATTAATTAATTGTAAAGCACCATTGCTTCTAACTGTACTGTCATTTTTATCATTGTTGAAATAACAGCTTTCATCGTTACCGGCAATTACTTCTCCTTTTTTTCTACGTTATCATCCAAATAAAACTTTATCATATCTAAATTAACATATCCAATGAAAATTATATAAATTAAATTTTTAAATCTTTTTAGATTTAAACTTTTAAATTGATAATTCTTTTGAACTTTTAATGCATTAAAGTTATATCTTTCATTGTTTGGCATAAATTTATTAAATTAATGAAATGATCGAATTATCATAAATATATTAAAGTTTAATGGAAAAAAAGGAAATATCCGAACCGTGTAGGAATTTCACCCGAAATATTATTTTTAATGCTACCACTTTTACTGCAGCCAGTAGAATTAGGCGTAGTTTGTTTCCGTCGAAATGTTTCAGTGCTGTGAACAAATAATTTATGCCGTCCCAAGTCATCTGATGTTCGTCCCCTGTAAAAAAACTTTTTTTAGAAATTATTTCTTCTTCTTTCTATCTCAATACTATCTTCATTCGACTTAATCATATGATATTTTCACTTCAACTACTTCATCGTATAGCTGACTATTTAGAAATGGAGCAAAATTTAAATTCAAATAATGATAATAATAAATGATAATAATAATTAAGTAATGATAATAATAATTTTTAAACGATTTCTCAATTAGAAAGCAATAAAATAATTAATTACCAATTATTCAAATATTTGATAATGTTTGAAATGAATTCATTTTTTCTTTCTTCGATTTTACATTTGCATATATTTTTGGAAGAGATTTTAAAAGTTAACAAAAAACTAATTTATTTACTAATTATTGCCAATTTTTTGCATTAAAGGAATGATTAATTTATTAATTATTACTATCACAAATTAATAAATACCTATAGGTACATTTTGAACATTGAAAATTTGATAGACTTTGAGAGTATCGTGAAAAATGTGCTCGTGATATTCCGGCAGCAACTGATGCAGCGCGGTCTACAACCTGTACATGACGGCTTATATGTTTCTCAAGCATTGCTGGACTTTTTGATACATGGCGACAAAATGGACACTTCCGTGAACCTAACGAAATGTTTATTGTTAAATTAACCTATCATAATTTATTTCTTGCTAAATTAACTAAAAAAAAATCGACAATTTTAAATTAAGCCAAAAAATAGTAAATCGAAAAAATTTATCGGTTATTTTTATAATGCTGTAAAAAATAATAATAATAAAGTAACGAACCTAAATCAATATTATCCGGTAAGGGAATATGATGTCGATAGTATTTATGAAAATGAATGTAACGTGCTTCACGTGTCCTAAACGGACAACCTTTTTCGTCACATTTAATAGGTGAATTACGATGATATATTGTAACATGATATGATACCGAATTATAACGACCGTAAACTTTATGGCATACTGTACACATATAACCATTTGCCACCTGTTCGATATATTTCTTATTACGACACCAACCTGAAATTAAATAATTCGAAAATTATTTATATGCTAAAAACTTTTTTTTATGTAATTAAAATTTGCATCGAATTGAAATTGATGAAATTACACTGCAAATTTTTTTCTTGAATATTTCAGTATTTTAAGTTAAACTTGAAGTGAAATAAAATATTTCGACCTTCTTTGTCATTAGATGGAAGGACAAGTTCATTGAATCGTTCGGCATTTCCGGTTTGTCCTGTCGAGGATGTTTCTTTCGATGATGCACTAAATAAAGAAACTGAATGAACATTCGTTTTAATTAAATTAAGAAAAATTAGTTATAAAAAAAAAACAATAGAATATATTTGTCTTACCTGAATTCAGTAACATAGTTTAGATGAAAAGAAAGTCAATAAAACGATTTGTATCTCGGTTTCATAAGGATTTGTGGAAAATTTGTTGTTAGATTGTTTAATTAATACCTAAGTAATTCATTGTTCATTGAATCATTTTCAACATTGATTTTCGATGATTTCTGAATTTCTTTTTTTATAGGTATAGTTGATACGTAACGCCGTTGCTTTGTTAAATTAGTTGAATTTGAATTTACTGCAAATTTAAACATGAGATTAGCAACTATTAGAATATCTGAAGTTTATCATGTCTGTAATTAAAGATTATATTATAAGTAAATTAGTTACTCAGAATGAGTTGTCAACAGATTCACATAAACGTACAAAATTCATTTTTCGCCTAAATGGGAAAGGATATAAAAATGAGCAATTAAATAATTAGAAATGATTTGAAATTTCTGAAGTAAACTAAATATCCTAAATAGTACCTAAATTTTTTTAATTGAAATAAAAGATCAATATTATAAATTAGTAAATAGTTGTTAAATAATTTTAATTAAAATTTTAAGCGACTTAATAATAAATGCCTTACTGGCCATAATATTGTGCTGCCTTATAAAACAATTGTTTTCATCGAGTTGAATGGATAGAAATAATTTTAGAAGTTCTGCTACTTGAATTTCTACCATTGGAATTTGACATATCCGAGATACTTGTAATACCTGTAAATTTATCAAGAAAATTTTTGTTACATTTTTTCTTCTGTAGAGAGTTAAAGAAAGAGACATTTAAGAGAATAATTTGCTGTCAAAAAATGACAAAGTGTTATTTTAAAGAAAACAGAATTTCTTTCGTAACAATGAAATATTAGCGATGTGTATATTTAATTGATGAAAAGAAAAAAATTCTACCTGAAATGGATGTGCGGTACCGAATGTAAGCATTCCGGTATAAAGATATCGTAGAATAACCCGAAAAGCTTGTGCAGCATTGGTAGTGGTACCAAGATGAAGCTCAATTGTTGGTATATTTTGTAGGATACCATTACTTCGATCGATTGAATAAACACCATTGAGGATTAATTCACGAATATGTAATGAAAAGAATGCTAGCAAAAATTTATTTGCTAACACTTGCTCCTCTAAAAATTAAATTTTTTACTTCCAATCATTTTAATTTTCAATTTCATCAAGTATATTTTAAAAAATGCCGTTTTTTTAAAACTCTTTTTCTTTAAGTTTAAATATTTCAAAACTAAAATTTATGCTAAATCTTAAGCGAAAACGGAAAAGATAAGTACCATTTCTGTGACCACTGGCTAAATCAATCGTTACGATACGTATGCAAATATCATTGAAGAATGGCGGTTGCATAAAAGCGCTGATAGCTTGTTGAAGTTGCGCTTCTTTCTCTCTATCCATACTTCCACCACTCCCATCCGAACTATCACACATCCTTACGAAAGGATTTAATATAATCCTGAAATAATATCCTTTTTTGACATTTACAAAATTGTCTCATAAATGTTGCATATTATCAGAAAGTAATTAGAAAATTGAAATAAGCCATAACCACTTTGAACTTTAATTTAATTAAAGCGTTGCACTATAATACAGTAATAATTTGTTGCAAGATCGCGTGATGTAAAATATTCTGAAATCCATTAGAATTGAAATTAAAGCTAAAGTGAAATTCAAAAATTTTAGTTCTTGCTCGGAATTTTTCTTCATATAAGTCAAATGATCTTTGATAATTTATCATATTATCACTATAAAAGCTTATACAAATCTAAATCCTATCATAATTCTATTATCATAATTAAAAGTTAATCTTTTCTCAATTTATCATCCTTTCCAAACAATAACATAAAAATGCTTTGCTCTTTTTTCGCAGTACTACTTGAACCTATAAAAGTCAACAAACATCAGCATTTAGTATTATTATTACTATTATTATTACTATTATTATTATTGTTATTATTACTATTGTTATTATTGTTATTATTGTTATTGCTATTACTATTGTTATTATAATATTATTAATTTCATATAATTAATTGCTGTTAAAAATGCTGAAAATGTTTCATTCCAAAGAATTCATAATTAATGAATGTTTCATTTACAGGTATTTATAGGTATTGCGTGAAAAGCAAAATGAATTGAAAAGCTTTCAATAAATCCCTCAAATTTTTGTTTCATTTCCTAAATTGCTAACCTTAAAACTAACAAAATATACCTCAATATGTTAATAAAAATTTTTCTTAAATAAATTTAAAATTAAAATAAGTGTAAGAAAAAAAAATGAAAAGAAAAATAAAACGAATAGTTAAAAACATACGAAATTTGTTTTTCAACAATGGTGGCAACAACAACAACAGATGTAATATTATACGGTTGTAAATGAGCAGGTTTTTGGCGACAGCAAAAAAGTCAGCTTATTTCTTCCCTTTATCTTTCTCCTTTTTTTTTCCTTCTTCTTTTGTTTTATTAACAGAAAAATAATTTATTTAAAAAGAGGAAGAAAAGGAAGAAAAATAGGTACTGAAGGAAATAATTGTGTATGTGTATCGTCTGCCTCTTTTCTGCGCATTTTTGTGGGTAACACTAAAAATGCCGCAAACAAACTGTTCAAAAAACATTTTACCTTTGCTTTGCAAAAATGAAAATTTTAAATTTTAACAAATTGAAATGATATGCAGAAATTTCTTCATTGATATTTTGTTCAATAAATGATATAATATTGTTATTGAGATTTTATCAGTAAAATTGAAATGATTAATAAAATTGATAATTTTGTTATTGATATATTTCATCAATAGACGATCGAAATGATAGCCTTTTCTTTTTAGTAATAATTCAAAATATTAAAACATTTTGAGTATTTCAAATGATTATAATAATCAAATTGAAATAGTTAAGGTGAAGATTTTCCATTCTTAAAATAAATCAAAAGTTGAAAAATTTTATTTACCTAAAATAGACTTACCTAATTTGATAATATTTTCAATTCTAATATTTATATTATTACAAGTTCAACTTATTATATATTATATATAAATCAAAATATATTAAAGATCCACAATATCATGAGTATTATTAGAGTTATTGCAAATTTAGTAAAAATATTGAGAATGAATGAATTACCTTAATCAGTAGCTGTATTATAATTTTAAATTAGTAATAATTAAAAATGAAATTAAAATTTTAATCATCTCATTTCCTAATAGCTTATATACCAATTAGCAGCTTAAATAAAAATTTTGTCCATTATCACATTTATCTTTCGAAATGGAAACAATCGCATTAAAATATATTTCTTAAAAATTGTTAAATGATATAAAGGATAAAAAATAATTTGCCAGATGATAGTTTTAAATTTCCTTTTTTAAACTGAAAACAATTTAACTTTCCTAAATTTCCTAATTAATTCTTATTATAAAATTCATCCAAATAATGATCCTTATTCAATTAAGAAAGTTAGAAATTTAGTCAACTAATTCTTACCTTAATTAATTTGAGAAATTGATATTTTAATAATTAAATTTAAAATTTGGAATTCATAGTAAACTTCAGCGGATATCAACGAAGATAAAAGTACAATTGTCATTCTTCACACTATTGATACTTTCAAAATGTTTATTAATTAAATTAAGAAGCAATTTACATCGAAGAACAAGAATTGGTCCTAAAATTTGTTCGATCATCCATTCCAAATTTATAAAACATTTTCCGAAGTTTTTTGAAAAAAACTACCAATTTTAAAGTTTCAGAAAAATATAACAATCAGCGCGGAAATAAAACTTGAAAGAATTTACTGCAAAGCATATAGTGTTTGTTAATTATTAATTATATTTACTTACTCGAACTTACTTTAAATCAAATTATTTCTTTATTTGTCACGCAAAGCAAAATAATTCTTTCTTTCATTTTCTCATATTATCATGAAGAAAATATTGCTCAAAAACAAAGTTAATACTTAAAATGAAACATAAAAAAAGGATAGAATGGAAAAGACAATACGAAATCGAATATTGGAATTCATTTCATTTTAATTCAATAAATTATTTAGAATTGATTAATAAAGAAAAAAACAAAAAGATAAATTAGCCACTGTTCAATGTCTTAGAATGAATTTCATTTCAGGTTTATGTGAAGATAATATATAAAATAAGATAAGATTATTCCTTATTATAAATTTCTTCAAGTCTGTTATTTTGAAATCCTTGAATAAGCTAATGTCAGGAAATTCCGAAAATATTTAAAATTTAATTTAATAGAAATCAAATATTTAAATTAAAATCCGAAAGGACTAAAATATCGTTCATAGTTTAGTACAAATATTAAAACTTTCAGATAAACAATCACAAATAAAATTCATTAAATTAAAATGATAGCAGAATTATTCATGTGATTAAAAGATGCTTCTTAGATATGATGTGATAGATATATATGATGTATATAATATAATTCAAGAATATCCGAATTGTTTAGCTTTTGAAATATTTGAAAAAGGAAATCTCTCATTTACATATATTCTCATTTCTATTTATCAAAAGATGATTATGGTACCATAAATTATTGAATTTACTTTGTTTTTATAGCAGTATCACTGACTTCTTATATTTTACTTAAATTTAAACTTTTACTTTATTCCCAATATAAATCAGCAAAATTTGCTCATTCATTTATTCCTCTCTTCATTTGCATATTCTTCAGACTTACAAAGAAAAAAAGAAATGCTAATTTCTAGATGTTATAGATATTTCAGACAAAGATGAGATTTCCAATTCGATCAAACAAAAAATTGTTAATCTTTTAAATTTATTCATTCCTATACATTTACATTTCAAAATTTATCAAATTCAGTAATTGCTAAAGTTTATAAACAGTTTGAGCAATAATTAAAACTTCCTGACAGATTTATAACAATACTATAAAAATTTTCAATTAAACCTGAAATAAATTTTAATTTTAGTATCTTTCAATCTTAAAATTAAATTACTTCCTACCTATTATTTATGATTTGATAGCTTCTTTTAAAAAGGATTATTATATTTTTTCAACCTTTAACTATTTCAATTTTTCATTGAATTATTTTCTGCAATACAATATGCAAAAATAGAGAAATAGAAAATGAGCAGAAAAAAAGTTTCTGGGAAAAAGCAAATTTTCAGACAAAATGAAGAAATTTTTAAAAGAAAATGTATCGTAATGATAATATCACCAGTATTGCAGCTGTCAACAGCGTTTCCTCATCGTTTAGCTCAGATGATAGCATTGTTGTAAAAACAAATACCGTACTCTAAAGTGGTTGTCAATTTGAAAAGAGTGAAAAAATGAAACAATTTTCCTCATTAATGCTAAATGCTATCATTGCAATATCTTGCTATCCTGATAAAAAACGAGGAATTGAAGTTGTTGTCTTCTACAGGAAGTAAATATCAATCAATATGCCGGATAATATTTTCCGTATCCAGAAAATGATTAGACATAGGTGATGCAGGGTAATGCTCTGTTTAAGTGGCCAAAATTTATGAATCATTATAGGAGAATTGGATGAACATTTGGGTATCATCTCGATCAAACAATAGAAAAAGTTTTCCATCTTGATAGTTTTGAATAAAAAAAAGTGCGAGAAACAATGAATATGCACCTTTTGACCTTTACCTGAATTGCTTCTTCTTTTTTTCCGTTTTACCTTTGCCTTTAACAATAAAAGCAATAAAAGAAACTGTAATCAATTCTTTCTTATAATTTTTCGAAAGGTATAATCCATTTTTCTTTACTTAAAAGTGATAGCATTTTTTAGCAATCGCACGCTATTCAATAATAAACTTTTTCTTAATAAAATGAAAAACTTTTCATTTTATTAATTAATTTATTAAAACAAAAGAAGTAATAAAATTTACATGAATTAATTCAAATTCCAAGAATTTCATTAATTGTATAATCTAAGAAGAAAGAAAAAGCTTTTCTGTTTGTGAAAATTTCTATTAAAATATTATTCACAAAACAAATGCAAAGTAATTATAATTAATTGTTTCAAAAAGAAAATGAAAGAGAAGTTTTAAATTTGGGAAAAGATTGAAATGGAATTATGTTAATTATACTAATTAAGAAGAGAAAATAATTCAGATAGAAATCAAGAGTTATTAACAGCTGAGGTATTAATTAGTTAAATGAATTGTTATTGTGGACAGCTTGTTTTTATCAGCAAAACTTAGCAAATTATTTCATTCGTTCAACTCAGATAATTAGCTAAGAAATAGAAAAAATTTATGTGATATTAAAAGTTAAAGGATATTTTAAAGATTTACTAAGTTTAAATTGAATGAAAACGAAATCAATAATTCATTGAATGATCAAAGTGCAAAATTATTCCTCTAAATTAATCCCGAGATTTTTTCTCGATTATCAATTAACAAACAGTGATCAATTCAAAAACGAAATCAATA